ATAATTTTGCCTTTAAACTGATCTACAAAATTCTTTCTAGTAGTATACTACTACTGCCTACTACTACTCCCTCCTCCTCTACTCCCTCCTCCTCTACTGCCTACTCCTCTACTATGCCTACTACTATACACTGCCTATACTACTCCTATACTACTGCTATACTACTGTTGTATACTACTACTAGTATACTACTACTAGTATATCTTTCTAGTAGTATACTACTACTGCCTACTACTACTCCCTCCTCCTCTACTCCCTCCTCCTCTACTGCCTACTCCTCTACTATGCCTACTACTATACATTGCCTATACTACTCTATTGCTCTATGTGCTCTACTACTACTGCCTACATTATTGTACTACTGCCTACACTCTACTGTGATTTTTCAACTTGCAGCTACCTGTGATGCCTACATAGCTCTTACTCTACTCCTCTTACTCTACTCTACTCTACTCTCACCTCCCTCTAGTCTTCTACTCTATCTTGATGGCCGAAGGACTTAGCCCTTTGGGGTCGAATTTTGAAACTATCTTGATGGCTTTTGTTTGGTATTTGCAATGATGATTCTTTTCACACTTCTAAGTCGAGGCAAGTGGCATATGCAATGATGTGAACCCTTTTATGTCGAGGCGTGGCGATGATGATCGAGTGCCCCGCTAAACTAGGATGGCTTGTATACCGGATACAAGCAACCAGTTTAAAAGTGATGTGATGACAATGGGGCAAATCTGAGCCAACTACTACTACTTTACTACTCTAGTACTACTCTACTTTACTACTCTAGTACTACTGTACTTTACTACTCTATAACTGTGTCTATACAACTGAAATATGTATTCATTATAGCTTTCCAATGGCGGAGGAACCGATAAGCGAATGGCGCGACCCTACCCCTAGTGCATCATCATCAACTAGCCTCGAGAGCCAAGTGTCCGTGACCCCGAGGCCAACAAAGAAATGTCGTACAGAGGATAAAGATGATCCGACCTACCAACCGAGGGACGACGAAGTTGAAAGTGTGCGGTCTCCAAACCCGAACAGATGCGGTGGTGCCTCGAGAATTGAATTTTCAAGGAGGAACAAGTCGGGGACAAAGAACCCCCGCTCCATCTCCAACCACTTGAGGCAAGTCTAGGGGTCGAGGACAAAGCCGAGAAGGGGGAACACGGAGGCACCAGAGGGAACCCCCACGGTGAAGTCCATGTGATCCATGAGGTGGGACCAGAGGAAACCCGTTGTCGCCACCCATGGTCCTTGCCAAGTTTAGCAACCAGGTGGCATGTATAGTCAAGGACAAGGTGGAGATCACTTGGGAGGAGTGGAACAATGTCGATCGACTACAAGACACATATCCTGGGTGAGGTGACGAGGAGCTTCCATTATCCCGAGGGGACGCCGATCCGAACAAGTGCAGGAGTGGGTCATGCACGTGGCGGGGAAGAGCCTTTAGAAACTTCAAGTCCATGCTAACTGTGTACTACACGAAGCTAGGCAAGTCACCCCATGTCAAATACACTATGGTGAAGGAACATCATTTGGGAAGAGTTCTGCAAACAAAGAACAACAGAAGAAGCAAAGGCAAAGAGCGCCAAATTCAAGCAGACTTTCATGAAGAAGAACTGCACCCCCACCACTTGGGCATGACTGGGTTTGCTGGTAAGAGGCCCTAGTGGCGGGAGGAAGAAAGGGCTAGAGCTGCCGTCGGGCTTCCCGATCCGTACGACGGTGTAGACTTGAGGGCTAAGGACTTCATCTATGCCCGCAAGCCGAAGAAGCTCAAGGAGGGCGCGAGCAAGTTCAATGAGCCCAAGTTCGAGGAGGTGGAAAGGGCTCTCATCGAGGCCGCTAAATCCAAGGATAGCTTCGAGGTTCGCAGGGGCCAGGACTTGCTGACCCTGGCGCTGGGAACCCCCGAGCACCGTGGCCGCGTCCGTGGCATGTCATCGAAGATGAGCTGGAACTCAGTCGAGTCATGGCAATCCGACGATGCCACATACCGGTCAAGGCAGAGGTACAAGGAGGGCATCTTTCAGAAGGGCTATGATCAAGGCGTGGCCGAAATGATCAGCCGGTCCATAAAAGAAGCCTTCACGAGCAATGACCTAGATATGGTGTCGATGAGGTCATAGATGCTTCGCCAGGCTGGCATGGCCGTGCCTCAAGTTCCACAAGGGCAGACACAAGGGCAACCACTGTCGATGATCGAGGATTGCCCAAGGCACCCCGTCGATGACATACGGGAACCCATGCGCGTCCACCTCATGATCCCATTCGGCAGGGTGAAAAAGTTGACCGTGGGTGAGGGTTACATGCACCCCAAAGAAGATATCAAAGATTTCAACCAAGACCAGATCCCTGCCAACTATGCTACTGTTATACTTACATGGTATGCGACCGAATACGAAGAATTTGAAATGGAATATCCAACTACAGAAGGGGTAACGATCCTTGGAGCTGCCTTGGGTTCCGAAGTCCTATGGAACAAGGATGACATAGAGATCATTCTCTCAACGCTGACTTCTACGCTGACGGCGACACCAGCATCACAACCATCCGTTGCTGGATCTTGTCCCCCCGATGATCCGGATCACGGCGACGGCGATGACGAAGGCAATGGCGGGGATGACAAGGGAAGGAACTCACCCCGAGGCATAAGCCCTCACCCTCGTTCTCCTCCTCCAACAACAAGTCCACCTCCACCTCCCGGCAGTCCGTCTAAGGGCACAAGCAAAGGACCGGGAGGCACAAGCCCTCATCCTCGTTCTCCTCCTCCAACAACAAGTCCACCTCCACCTCTCGATAGTCCGTCTAAGGGCACGAGCAAAGGACCGGGAGGCATAGAGGAACCGGGGCAAAGACACCGCCTGCTGCCATTGTGAGCACAAGCCACTGTCCTCCACCGCCGGCGAAGACTAAAGGCGACCAAGGGCAGCTCACACACTCACTTGAGTTCGAAAGGTATGGTAGCGGTGAGCATAATTTGCTAATAACTTTTCTTTGCTATAATATGGTACTAACATTTCTATCCTAGGCCGAGATCACCTTTCCATCTATTTCCTGAATCGGATGACTGCCCCGGCCATTACGAGCATGGGAAGTTCATGATAACCAAGGCCCAACTCGTCGACGAGGAAAGGTGGGAGACAAGGAGGTTTCATCTCTGGTACATGGAAGCAGCAAAAGCTGGCCTGCATGGTTTTGTAGTCAAGGTTGTGGCGGAGTACTTCCACTTGCCCGGCAACGATGTAGAACTCCCCGTGGACTTCCACGACATGTACAGACTACTACGGGAACAAGACCTTGACATCGCCCAAGTCACCTTGTTCTCTATGTAAGTGATGAATTGCGAGTTTCACATATCACCTGCCTTTGAATCGGTCAAGACTACTTATATATGCCACGATGGCTTGTCCTTGCAGGTTGATGGCCTATATATCCAAGGAACTAAAACTTGATGTTATCTATCTATCTCCAATGCATATTGCTCAAAGAATCATCATTGGTTACCACCTAGATGACAATCATCCAACCATGAAAGACTTGACCAAGCGACAGAGAGAGGCGCACAGGAAGAAACTGATGAACAATGAGAAGTTAAACATTTCAAGGTACATACTAGGAGCAATGAAGAAGATCAGGGGACATGGGTGTATCCTAGCTGCCTACCACTTTGGGTAAGTCGAAGACATGCCTGTAGAGATAAGTGGGTAGCTAGCTAGAATTATTATTTCTCATCGTAACCTGTATTTTGTTTCAATGGCGTAGCCAAGGCCTCGAGGGTCACTAGGTTGCATTTATCATCTACCCTCAGGATGGTAGGGCCTGCGTATTTGATTCGTTGACAGTGCCAAACTTAAAAGGGTACAATGCCTTTGAAGATTGCCTCAAAGTGTAAGTGACTGAACTGTCTTCTCATATGTGTTCTAATGCCCTGCCTAATACTAGTACATTTCGTATAGCGCTTATAAGGAGTACATGAAGGATCCTGAATGCTATGATCGAAGAATAGAGAATTTTAAGGCTAAGCATAAGAACCACATCAAAATCAGACGTAACTTTCCGGTAAGTATTTGAAAGGTTTAATTGTGCTTTTCGTTCATATGCGTTCTAATCACTATATTGTAATGCTTGTGTATCGATCATGTAGTGTGCCAAACAACCGGTAGGATCACAAACCTGTGGCTTCTACGCCTGTGAGTTTCTGAGGGTGTGCAAGCAGTACAACAACAGTTGGAGGGTGCTCAAGAATAGATTGAACTGGTCGAGAGACGTGGAGAGCATCCAACACAGCTTCAAGCAAACAAAGACGGACATATGTAAGTTTGTCTTAGGCAAATGCGTGCTTGAAGGGGGCACGTTCTTCAATGAGAACAGCCCGCTAGCGATTTTACCGGAATACGAGAGGCTGAGGAAATGACCCACGATGATGCGTCCGCAGGATTACACCTTAGCGCATGTATAACGACTTTAATATGTAAATGTAATGAATTAACGATGACAAGAACAACTAAGTGAATGTATATATATGTATATTATCTCATGTGTAATGCCTGCATACTTTTTAAGTTTAATCTGTGAAATCTGGATGTGATTTGAATTTGAATTTGAATTTATATGCCTGCTGTATTTTTTTAATTTAGGAAATAATTTACCGAGGCGGGCAAATAATAACGCCCGCCACGGCTTATGAACATAACCGTGGCGGGCCACAAAAGTTGTCCGCCGCGGTAAAATAATTTACCGCGGCGGACGGTGTAACGTGCCCGCCGTGGTAAAAGTATATTTACCGAAGCGGGCACGTTACACCGCCCTCCGCGGTAAATCGGTTAACCGCGGCGGGCAAATCCGCCCGCCGTGGGAAACCGAAAACGCCCGCCTCCAGTAAAGTTTGTGTAGTAGTGCAACGGGAACACGCTTGGAAAAGTGCAAGAACCGGAAGCATCAGATATGGAAAGAACGAAGCATGGAAACAAATCAGGGTCACGCTTCTGTTCGGATACCTTGGTGGAGTAGAACCTGACGAAGGAGCTGGACGCGATGTCCGACGTCACCTCGGTCGCCTGCATCCGAGCGTCGCAGGATTGGGAGCGGCAGGGCGGCGGGCGCGCCGCCTGCTCCGCGGGGACGGCCTCGGCCACCCACGCGCTCTTCTCCGGGCTTTGTCGAGGGTGACAGTTTGTCCATGGCGTATCCCCAAGTCGGCGTGGAGGAGGTGGCCGAGTGGCGGACGGTGAGGCACTGACGCCGCCACGCTCAAGGCGCCCTCCCGCCATGGCGTCGAGAGGAAGGCGTTGTCGTTGGGGTGGGGCAGACGCCTGGACGACCCTACTGGCCGGGTGTTGTGGCATCGAGCGCCTTGGGCGGGTCGGGCCGGCGCGCCGAGGTAGAGCCCGCTGGCTGGCCCGCATCCGGACGTACTAAATCATCGGCGGGCTCCACGGCCCAGACGGTGTCATGGAGTTGCGGGCGGTAGCCGTGGGAGACAACCTCTCCGCTGCGTCGGGCGGGCGCAGAGGTATGCGCCGAGGTGACTCTTCTTCACCAAGATGTTTGCAAGCGTTATAAACAACTCCATTGCGCGCGTCTGCGGCATGCTGCTGTGGATCGATCAGAATCCAAGATCGGTGTGGCGTTTCTTGATTTGGTGAGCTAAGGGAAGGGGAACGCGGAGGAGGTTCTTGTTTAGGTGGGAGGTAGCAAGGCGGTTGGGGTTTTTGGTCGAGAGGCCAACGGGCCTTTTTTTTATCACTGGGCCAACGGGCCTTGGTCGTTGGACATATATACGGTCGATGGCTAGGATTTTTTTTTAAAAAAAATCCTGATCCACCACCTCTATAATCGTGTTAAAATGGCATCAATAGAATGTAGAAAATACAAGATTAATAAAAAAATACGCTATTTTGATGACTAATGATTTAGATCTACTAGAAAAATATAGGATTAGTTAGAAAATTAGATTTTATGTTGGCCTAGGTCTATACTGGAAAATAATTATACCACGAATAATCTGTATTTAAATAATTTTCTTCATGCATGTGGTGTTTTGAATTAAATAGTGTTCTATCTGTATATAATAATGATCAATACATGTGTTCAAATCATAATCAAGTAATATTGTCATAGAAATTACAATATACTTGTGTTTATAAATACACAACTTGAAACACTTCTCATGCTTCAATATACCCATATTCAAGAAAGATAAAAAAGCAATGAGGCCAATAAAGTTCAAACAAAAGTTACAATAACAAACCATCAAACCACGATTGGAACCACAATTTTGTGGTAATTATATTAGTTCATATACTCCTTATTTTAAAATTAACTAGGATCATGCCCGTGTTGTAACGGAAAAATAATAATCTCATGATAATTTGAATTTGCACGTGTACTTTTCGTGATGATGTTTGCAAAGTCAAGATGCTTGTCATCAGGCGACACTCCGCACACAGCGGCGGGGCACACATGTAAAACTTTTCTCCCATGTGATTGAGGCTTCTTTTTTAGACAACTTTCAAGTGAATTCCATCGTCACATATTACGAGCCCAAAAAATACTCATTCTGGCTCCAGTCCAATGCCCGTTTGATCGCTCAAATCCTGCAAACTGTAAATTGCATATCAAAATTTCATAGTGCACACAAAAAAAATTCCATATAATTCCTCACGAAGATGTGATGTACTCCTCTGTTTCTTTTATCTGTCATTCTCAGTTCCCGAGAAATTAAACATACTTAACTTTAACTAAATTTATAAAATAAAATATTAATATTTATAGTAACTAATTAGTATCATTAGATAGATCGTTGGATCTATTTTCATAATAAATTTATTCACAAATAAAAATATTATTAATATTTTCTATAAACTTAGTCAAAATTGACTGCCATGATGACACTTAAATAGGGATGAGGGAGTACAACAATATCATCAACAATAATAAAAGTTCATCCAATGTATGGAGATGTCTTCGCACTATGTATATTATGAAATTCATCTTTAAGAGCATGCTAAAGCATTCTCCAGTGATGAGTGACGAGGACATCATTGATGCCTGATTCCTGAATAAATTTAAAGCGTGTTAAATAAAAGAGATTGTGCTGTGGCAATGCATGACTATAAATTGACAAAACAAATCTCTTTGTATTTATAGAGCAGATACACAGCAGTACAGCACGTAGGTCTCGAATCCCCACGAAGCGGCAAGCTTGGATGCAAAGGGCCATTCACTCCCTTTACCAACAATTATATATTCTTCTAGGAACAAAGTTATTAGAGACCTGTTGAGACAATTTACAATAACATGTTATTGTTGTGATATCATGCAGTGTACGAGCTAGAATGGTAAATTTACTATGCATCAGTAAGTAAGTACTACTTCGAAAAAGACATGCTAAAGAAACCCTGACAAATTTCCTGATGAAACATGGCTTGTAGCACAGAATTCGTCATGGTATCTTGGCTCTATCATCAAAATTAAAAGTAGCTTCAGCACAAAAAAAAATAGTAAACATTGAAATCGGAGATTAAACTTCGATGCGCATCTATTATTCAACTTTCTTGGTCAATTAGTTCAACATCATAGTTACAACATTCAAGCTAAGAGATAAAAAAAATAGAACATCTAAGGGCTCCTTTAGTACGCAAGAATTTCGCGGGATTTGTACAAGATTTTCATAGGAATTAGTTCATTTTCATAGGAAGCTTGCCTAAATTTGTTTTGCTAATTAAAATTTATTATGAACCAATCAGGCTTGTAGGCCTTGATTGGATGGCTGGAAAAATGGTTGATGCAGATGCTGATTTGTTGTGAGAGAAAAAACAATCACCTTGTTCGTTGGTTGGTCTTTGGTCTTTGGTTTTTAAATTTTTGGTGATCTTTGGATTTTATAAGAGAAAACACATTGGTGATTGAATAAGCCTGGCTGAAACCAACAAGCTTAACAGGGTGATTGTTATTTCATTGAAACGGATAAATTTAAAAGAGCAGAGCCTAACCTATAGGTGCATACTTTTTTTTTTGACAGGGAGCATCAAACATGCCGTAAATTAATTTTTTCGTGTCAGCATAAGTGTGATTCTAGCCCATTCAGATTCCAGCTGTTCCGGCCCATCCCACTTGCACCCGAACCCACTCGCACCTTTAGAAATCAAACCCTTAGAAAGACGAAAATTCTCACTTCCGCCCCCGAAACCATGTGCGGATGCGGCCATCGGGCCATGCCAGATGCCTGTATCGCCACACTGGCACACACCGCTCGTTTCATTGCGTTCGGTGGTAAAAAAAAAAAGTAAAAGTAATTCCATACTACTTCAAGGGGGCATCTGCAAACGCCCCTCTGCGTCCTCGGCTCCTCGCCTCCTCGGAAGGCGGCTCTGGTCGCTCTCCCATCCAATTAGAAGTATGAGGCCGCGCCGTCTCCGCGGTCTCTGAGCATGGCCACGATAGCCTGCTCTGTTAGCCTCGTCGATATTGTTTTTATGGCTCAGATCGTCTTGTTTCTATTTTTTTACTATGAGTTTTTGTCTTCTCATGATTGGACTGAAGGAGAACAGGTTTCGTAACATGCATGTTGTTGGCTCAACCTTTTATTATATGCTTGCTCTACGCATGGAGAAAGCACAAGGATAGAAAATCTGGTATTATGCTACAGCCTAGATTCTCCACGCACTCCGCGGCCTCTGAGCATGGCCACGATAGCTTGCTCTGTTAGCCCCGTCCGATATTGTTTTTATGGCTCAGATCGCCTCGTTTCTATTTTTCACTATGAGTTTTTGTAACATGCATGTTGTTGGCTCAACCTTTTATTATATGCTTGCTCTACATATGGAGAAAGCACAAGGATAAAAAATCTGGTATTGTGCTACAGGCTAGATTCTCCACGCATGCTGCCGGTGGTCTCAACCATATGCATGCAGCAGATAGCATGCATGCATCATAGAAGCTGCAACGCTACTGTGTGAGGTGACATAAATGCAGAAGCTGCAGCGCTACTGTGTGAGGTGACAAGAAGCTGCAATGCTACTGTGTGAGCGGGCAAGGACAGACGACTGGTGCTGCAATGCAAAAATGAGTGGATGAGAGCACCCGCACTCCGTGAGTTCCCTCCGTTGGTCCCACGCCGTTGCATAAACTTTTGTCTTCTATAGCTACAGATATTGGACTTCACGCTATCTGATCGATTAAATTGGAAAAAAATTTGAACTCCAGACGTCCATTTAATCTCGTACATGATATTGACCCTTCATGCCGAATATCTATGCTAGCACAGCAGCACACAGCGTGCCAACCTTTTGTCCTTTCTATGTAATTATGCATGCTGCCTACTGAAGCATTTCTCATGATAGGACCTGGGAACAGGCCTCCAATGATAGTAGCACTAGCAGTAGAGAGAAACTGCTTCAGTTCTCAGGATCCTTTTTTTCAACAAGAATAAAGTGACAGATGGATACGTTTCGTGCATCATATATAGGATAATAACCATCTTATTTGAAAGCTGGAACCATTCTAGGGTTACTTATTATTACTAGCCTGCTGCAATGTCATAGCATCGACTGAGGCCGTGTTTAGTTACGAGCAGAATCGGCGCCGCCAAATTTTCGGGTTCCTGTAGCGCACTGTAGCGTTTTATTTGTATTTGGTAATAATTGCCCAATCGTTGACTAATTAGGCTCAAAACGTTCGTCTCGCAAAGTACAACTAAACTGTGTAATTAGTTTTTGATTTCGTCAACATTTAGTACTCCATGCATATACCGCAAGTTTGATGTGACGGGGAATCTTCTTTTTGCATAGTGCCAAAGTTTGGATTTGGTGGGAACTAAACATGGCCTGAATGATTTTTGGTTTTGTAGGGTTGTGGCGGTATGGAATCATGACACAGGATCCCTGAGGAGGTATAGACACTGTGACAACCCACCCAGCTTCCTATGTATGATGTTTGGCACACAGCCACAGTGGCACATACGTACACGCACACACTCCCAATCCTTGAATATCGCACAGGTGAGTCAGGCAGGCACACTGTGGCCTGTGGTGACTGCCTGACTAGTGAGAGAGGAGGGAAGAAGAGGAAGCTACCTTCGTGCTGCAATTTGTCGCCTTCTCACGATATCGATGAATCACTGCAATGAATATAGAGCATGCATGAAATGTCACATCATGCACTTCCACACAAAGAAGACAAAAGGGCATCAGACGGCATGCATGCATGAAATGTCACCATCGTACTAGTGCATCATTTGTACTTTGTTGCTACTATATTACTTGTTCCA